CCCTCTCAAAAACAAACATTAAAAAAAAGAGAATCATAAGGAAAACACATTTACAGTACCATGCTGTATTGGGGGGGAAATGCACGTGTAAGTGGACCCACACAGTTCAAACCCATCTTGTTCAAGGGTCAAACATATGCACAAAATCTGGAGGAATACTAGTTAACAGTGGTTAACTGGGTTATGAAATTATGGGAAAACTCCTCTCCTGTCTATTTAATGTTTATTTTGAAAGAGAACACACGTGCACACACGTGCCCATGAGTTGGGGAGGGACAGAGAGAGAGAGTGGGAGAGAATCCCAAGCAGGCTCCACGCTCCGTGCAGAGCCTGAGGCAGGGCTTGATCCCATGCCCAAGGAGATTATGATCTGAGCTGAAATCAAGAATCGCTTAACCAACTGAACCACCCAGGTGTCCCATGTCTATTTTTATTTTCTAATTTCCCCAAAGAATATGTGTTCCCTGTAAAATAAAAAAAGAGAATAAAAGGCCAAGCAATGGTAACAGATTTTTGGATTTAGCCAAGATTAAGGACTGGCAAGCCTAGAAGCAAAGGTCGAAAAGGAACGAAAGGTGATAGGGGAGCGAGGAACACAGGGGAGGGGCTTGCAGGCTTCCTCTCCCTGGGTCCTGTCACCAGGAAACCCGCTCCGTTTCAGGAGCACCCACACAGGCATGTAACGGTGCTCCTGGCAGAGGACGAGCTGAAGCCCTGCAGGCCCAAGGCCAGCGCACAGTACTGTACCATTCATATGCTGACCTGACTTTGAGCAGTGACACAGGAATTCTAGATGGTGGGAATGGGGTGAAAGTACTCCTTTCTTGAGCCAGATGCTGGTTACACAGGTGTGTTGACCTTGTGAAAATTCACCAAGCTGCATACAGTGTGTACCCTTTTGTGTGTATGCTATACATCAATAAAAACTTAAAAAAAAAAAAACAAATTAAAACCTGAGAGGAGAATACTCGGTCATCTGCCACGGAGTCTCTTAAATTCTGGTTTTAATAAATATGAACTCATGGATCAGTTTCATGGAACAGAACATTCAATCCAGTATTTTGTCTGACATGTCTCGTTGTCTTAATTTCTCCAGACTCTATTGATTACTACTAAAATTAACAACAAACAAGAAAAAATTCCGAGGCAGTATGGAAGACACAAGAAAAGCCAAACAGGGGAGGGTAGTGGCTTTCACCCCTGGGTACACATTTGAATCACCTGAGGAGTCTTGGAAAATGCTGGTGTCTGGGCTCTACTCTACACTAATCACAGCAGACTCTCAGAGGCTGGGGCTCAGTCATTGATATTTCCTTTTTTTTAAGTTCCCCAGATGATTCTAATATGCAGTAGTACTGAGAACCACTAAACTAGCTGAACCAGAGGCACTGGCCACCGGACACTGTCTCAGCAAGTTTAGCATGGCCTGTTTGTCCTGGTGGAGGCTATGCGGGGAGTGGGAGCACGTGTTTAGGGCTGAAGTGCCCCAGCACCCTCCCAGGTCCTCCTCCAGGTCCCACTCCCCCAGACCTCAGACAGAGACCAGTGGGGAACGATGCCCCCAAATGAAGGAGGCAGCTTCTAGAAGGGTGGGGGAGGAGCTTCCCAAGGGTTGGACACAGAACCCTGGGTTCTGGCCCCTAGCCGAGTGTTCAGAGTGCTCTGGACCACTTGCCAATACAGCCCCAAGACATGTACCACTCCAACCACACAACCCCAGAGCTAAGCCCTAACTACTACTCAGGGTCCAAATAACACCATTGGGAACCCACAGCTGGAAAACAGGAAACCGAGGAAAAATAACAATGAGAAGAAAGGCCACAGGGCAGAGGTCAGCATATAGCTCAACCATCACATAGGACCTGGCTCAGGGACAAGTGGCAAGGCCAATGAGGAGGGGACGCCATAGGGCCAACCTGCCTAGAGTTTCCGACACTAATCTCTGGGGTCCCCATATCACCCTCAAGTTTCATCCACTTTACCTAAATGTGTGAGACGAACACACAGGTCTGACCCTAGCAGACAGCTATCTTGGCCCAGCAGACCTACAGCATTTTATAAGCTCCTAGACAACTAAGACACAAGGAGTCCCTGGCCCATACCCCACCAAGTAGCCCCCTCAAAGACCCGCTCTGCTCAGTCTAGATCTTAGGGCTGAGCTCAAAGCAAAAAGAGCAAGAGTGGAGATGGGCTGAAGCCATGAACAATGCTCTTGGATGGAGAACACAGAAGGGGAAGAGACAGTACATCCGTACTGCACCAGGAAGAACAGAATGGGCATCTCTGGGGCACAGCCTCCCCCACTCCCCCACTGAAAATCCATCTCTGTGTGCCCATGAGACCTCAGGGTGGAGGGCAACAAAGATTTCACTTGGGAAGGTGGTCTCTCCTCTCTGGGTCCAGCAGAGCCTGGTGGTCAGAGGGCACTCCCCAGCCTGAACTTGCTCAAATCAGCAGAGAAATGATTTGGCCCACATTCAAGGAAGAAGGTGGAGCAGAGAAAGTCTGTCTGGGGATGCACACAAAACTCTCAGCCCAGCACCATTCCAGGGTCTCTGCCTCTCCCAGAGTCACTAGCCTCCCTAGTTCTTCCACTTTATGCAGAGAAACCAGTAGGATTCGGGGATGGAAACTTCCTAAGGTATAGGACAGGGGATGGGCAGAAATAGCGCCTTCTGTAAGCTCCATCTGTCTAGCAGGGCTGGGAACCAAGGCCCGCAGGCTAAAAGAGCAGACTCTGGGGGAGGAGAACTTTGAGGGGGAGGGGACGTGGGTGCCTGCTGAAGAAGATGCAAAGCAGGAAAACTCAGTCAACAGGGCAGGGAGTTTAGGAGCTCACTGTCAGGGACAAGTTGCAAACCCTTTCAATGTCTTTGTTCCCCTGGCAAAGCCCATGAGGTTAGGATTACATGTGAAAAATGCTTGGAGGCGGGGTTGAGAAATCCAATTACTTAAGCACCAAGGGCATAAGAGTTCCAGGCCACAGAGGTAACCAGGATTTGCTCAGACCCTAATCTTACTGTCCTTGGATGTTTATCTCTTAAGGAATATTTTTGTGGCAAGACAGTGTTCCCTATACCTTAGCCCCTGCCCCCACTCTCCTCTAGGATGAGGCAGCCAGGGCAGTAGGAAATTGATTTTTTTTTTCTAGCCTTTAGCATCCTAAGTGAAGAGGCCAAATAACCTCAGCAGAGAAGTACAACAAATTTGGAGGAGCATGTAGGGGGAAGATGGGATAAAGTAGGAGGTCCAAACTCTTGCAATCAAAAATACTGGGATGTCTGTCCTTACAGGAATCAGGGCAGAGTTTGTGATCATCCCTCAGATGAAAAGGGCTCCACTTCTGGATGACTGGGAGCCACCACATGGAAAAAGCTCAAAAGCGACGGAGCTTTATTTACTGTCTCACAGGGCACGAGTCAGCTCTGGCATCTACAGGAGACCTGACCTCCCCTTAACTGTTCTCTTCCTCCAAGGCATGGAGTACACACACACACACACGCACGCACGCTTGTCCCTTCAGGAAGCTCCACAGGTTCTGACACTTCTCCATCAGAATCGGAGACTTGCAGAAAAGAAAGGGCAAACAGGAAGCATCCTTATCTACAGAAGCTGAAAGGCAAGTAAATCTTTCGAAGTGCTTGGGAAGAATCTCTGGGACAGCAAGTTATTTTCTCTTCCAAGAATCCTCCAGATGGACAGTACAGAATAGAGGGGAAGTCATGTCCAGAAAAGAGTGGGGTGAGGGGGTCGAAACAGAGACTCTGCTCTTTCAGAAGCAAAGCTGAGAAGTAGCGCAGGGAGTTCAGGGTATGGCCTGTAAACTATTTACCACCAGTCCACCACAACTCCTAAAGGCACCACAGCGATGTGAACCTGCCGCAACACGCTAGAGCATGTCCAACAGACACACCCATCCAGTGGCTCACAGACCAGTCTGAGCGGTGCCAAACTCCCAAGGTGAGCTGTGCCTGGAGCAAGCTGCAAACTCCTGTGCAAAGTAGGACTGTGTTTCTGTTTGCAACATTTTGGGTATTAAGAAAAAAAGAAAACTGGCACTTTGCACCACATTAAGTTTGAGAAAAACTAACTTTAGGTAACCCCTTCATTTTGTAAAGAAAACTGAAGTCCAAGGACACTAAATGTCCCCAAGCTGAATGACAGCACCCAGGCACTGGAGCAGCATCGGGAACAGAGAGAAGAAACCAGACAACTGCACTTCTCAGCTTCCCCTTCGCAGCCGGTGGTCTCCATGGGAACCCCAATGCAGGAAAGGCTGCAGGACCCACATACTCCCACTGAGTGGGAGGAATTCAGGGTTCAAGGCAGAATGTGCAGACACAGTATTTCAATTCTGCTTTACCTAAATCTCAAACCCAACACATCTATAACCAACACTTTCCTTTCAAAACAGAGCTTTCTTCCCAGCTCTTCAATTCCTGACCCCACTACCTTAATAATCTGTAAGCACCAGATCCCGGAAACACTAACTTACTGAAAGCAAGGCTGGCATGTGATTTCTTCCTGCACAGTCCCTTGAGGTCCACTGAGCCAGTGATGAAAGCAAACATAAAGAGCTAGGAGCTAGGCACAGCTAGGGGTGAAGGGTTTGGTCGACCACGTGCAAGTTTACAGCCCAAACACAAAGATCAAAAGCCTTCCCTACATAAAAACAAAACAAAACAAAAACCACACAAAACCAGCAGGTTTCCTCCCTGAGTTATGATTTTTGGCAATTTAATCAATGTCTCTTGCTTACAGTGGTATTGTGAAGATCAAATAGTGATTTCTTTTTTTTTCAGGATCTAGTATTGCACCTAGAACATGGTAAATGCTCACAAACTTTGACAAAGAGAAGAGAAAAGGGTGATAAGAGTGAGTGGGGTCATAGCCCTTCCTGGATAGCATGATAATCAATAGATTCTCACCCTCTGAGCCATCCCAGTCCCCTATTTGTCCAAAGGCTTCCTAAACTAACCCCCAAGGAAGCCACCTCCTTCTCAGAAGCTGCACGCATGCTGGGAACAAGGGGGAGTCCTCAGCTGACTGCCAGATGCTCGAGTGTGAGAGGAAATGAGGCCAAAAGCCCAAAAGAGGTCAGGGTGGGAAAGAGAGAACCGGGAGACCCGGAAGCTGAGCCAAACCAAAGCCCCTCCCCATGCTCCCTGCCCCCAACCTCCAGCTAGCCAAACCCCTTGCTATAGCCTGGGAGGGGACTTGGCAGGACCACAAAGACCGTTCTAGCAGCTGAAGCGAGCCCGGAGCCCAGGCCCCTCCTCAGCAAGCCCAGTAAGAGGGCCACTGCAGCCCTCACTGTGATCCCTGCGCAGCTCTCCACCCCTGTAGGCAGCAAGGCTCTCCCTCCCGCTCACTCACATATCTACCCTGCACTGTCTCCCACCCCCATCCACCCCTTCACCCCACCCCCGCCCACAGGACATGTAAAAGTGGTTGGGGTCACTAAGGAGGTGGGGCTCCAAGACTCTAACTGCAGTCCTTATCATGCGTGGGGGAAGCCCTCTCTCCCTCCATGCTCAAACTCTGCTCTCAAGTCTTCCCTGCTCCGTTCGCTTTCTGTGCTCCCCTACTTCTGTATCTTCCCAAGTTCACTACTGCTTGTACACTTACCTCAGACAAAAAAGAGTTTCTGCTAGATGCCCACAAGTGGCTGGAGAATAGGAAGAGCAGACAAGAAAGAACTAGTACGAGTCACCCATGGTGTGTGGATCACAGATCCTCAACAAAGGGGGATTTCTGCAGTGGTCCAAAGGAGAGACAGAAGGCAGAGATCCCAGGCACAGTCCCAAAATAGTTTCCAGACATCCTCAGCCAGTTGAGGATTCCCATGGGGCAGAGCGTGGGAGCAGCGTGGGAGCCCGAAAGCAGGGTGGCCTGGAGCTCTCGGCACTGGGCACTCACTCCTGTCCAGGCTGCCAAGAAGGAGGTGGTGGCAACAGTGTGTGCTATGACATGTTCCTTGGGATAGCATGGGTAGACACATAACACACTAGCCACTTAAGTGACAAACTGCATTTATCAAGCTCAATTCTGTACCAGTGCTAGGCATTACGCACACCCTACATCACGGATATTCCTGAAACTCTCTGGCAGGATTCAGCACACAGCAGATGAGCATACTCCCACCGCCTGCTGCATACCATTCACCCATGAGATTTACCCATCTTGCACCCATGCTGTGGGAATACAGATTCTAACATGTGACACCCCCTTGTCCCATGTCCCAGAGTCTTGGGCTGATCTCAGAATGAACTCATGCACCAGACACATCTTCCGACGGCACGACCTGCTGAGGGACGAGGATCTGATAAAACTGCCTCATCTGAGTATGTGGGACCACACCCAGCTGGCCACCTAAGAAAACTCCATGTGGGGGAAAGGTGGCACCAGGAAAGGGGCTGGGGGGGAGGGGTGTGGGTCAGATCTGAGTGTCTTCTGGCAATGCCCAAGCCAGGACAAGAGGAGGCTACGATTCTCAGACAACTCAACAATAAAAACAAGCACAGACACAATCTCAGAACTTTTGAAAACGAAGCCAGCTCAGGCCCTGCTCAGAGAAGAGGGAAGGAGAAAGACGTGTTTGAAAGGCTTTCTCTGCTTTTTCAAGCAGCCTCTGCCGCGTGCCCACAACACCAAAAGTTGAGGGATTCGGCTGGGAGCTTCCAGCAGCGCTGCAGGGCCAGCAGAGCGCAGGCAGGGAGAAATGGAGAGCACACTTGGAAAGAGCTGAAGAGAAGCCATCACTAGGCGGACGGGGGGGGGGGGGGGGGTGCTTTGGGGAGTAAACAAACCTGCCAGCAGTCCTTCCTCCCAGCAGAGAGGGAAGCTCTGGCTGACAAGGCCGGAGACACAGAGGAAGGAGGGACCTGCCCCCGCCCTGAGTCCATCTGTCCTCATCCCCTTGTCCTGTTTTCCCCAGGGTGGGGGGCAGAACAGGTGCACTCCGTGATCTCCGTGCCCACAGCCCTCAACAGCACACACGGTGATGGTGATTACAGCTCCCCCCATCAGCAGTGGGAGGCCAGGGAAGGAAGTGGAGGTGGAACCGGGGGTTCTGCTCCGGAGAAGAGAGCGAGTGAGCTCACAGCTCTCTCCTCCCCACCCACAGCACCGCCAGTATCAACCACCCTCGGCTTGCCTCAGGGGCCGCCCACTACTCTCAGCCTCACTGAGACATGCCCAGCTCCCCAGGGGAGCTAATACCACCTGGCTCTTCTTCTTCCCCCAGAATGGGCTTTAGAAGCAAACGGTATGCCCTCCTCTAAGCACTTCCTTGCCTCAAGTTCCTTGGGAGGAGGCCAGGGAACCACCTTGGCTCCTGATCCACCTGGCAGCCTCACCGAGGAGCCCCTATCCCACGTGGGGAAGCAGCACCCCTCCCTGCCAGTGTCCCCACCCAGGCAGTGAGGCGGCAGGGTGCCACTTCCAGCACCTCCACAGAGCTTCCCACAGCTTTCCCAGGAAGGAGGAGGAGGATTTCCAGGGACCAAAGTCTAAAAGCGTCCAGGGACTTGAGCAGCTCGCCTACCTGCTACCCAAGCAAGCTGATTCCCCCAGCTCCCCACAGGCTCCACAAGCCAAGGGAGAAAGTAGGGCTGAGCCAGGGGCAGGGACGGGCTCCCTCCTTCCCAGGAGAAGTCCCCTCCATCCTGCCCCTGCCCAACACTCCTTCCCCAGCCTCTCTGCTCTGGACTTGAGAGGCAGCCACATGAAGCTGCCTCCCGCTCAGTTTCCTCCACCCTGGGCCAGCAGAGGATACTGCTGAGTAATCCCAAACACTCAGCGGGTCCCTGGCTCTGAAAAGAGGGGCAAAGCCCAAGGAAACCCACTGATCCCGGTCCTTGCCAATCTGAGAGGAACAGCTATACTCCCTAGTAATGGCTGATACCCCACCAGATTCGTCCCGGTCCCAAATACCCCAGTCCTGGCCCTCAGGTGATCACATGGAGAAGCTCAGTGCCCCCTTCTCTGCTTCCCACGCACCTGGTAACATTCCCTTCCCAGTCCCCCAGACACCAATCTGCACAGAGTAACAGCCGCCCGCTGGATTCCCAGTCATGATGTTGCATCAGCCCCCACCCTACCCAAAATATCCTCACCCCCACCACCTCCTCTCCTCTCCAGCCATCTCCATGGTGACAGCAGCATGACTAATGACACCCTATCAGCTTCAGACACAGGAACACAATCCCCCCTCCCCCTGACACCCCCCCCCCCCCC